GAAGCATATTTTCCTTTTTCCTCTTGCTGGGCAATGAGGAGTTCAAGCAACATGCACAGGGGGATATAAACTAATAACTCTTGGGTCAGCTCTATAATTTTACACATTAGCATCCTAGAATGTGAGACTTGGAAGGAAATGTAGCAACTGCCTGGGCCAATGCCCTCATTTTAAAGATGGAAATGCTGAAGCTCTGAGGGGTAAATTTGCTCAAGGTCATGTAGATAGGTAGAGGCAGAGCTGGGACTAGAATTCAGGATACCTGAGTTCCACTCCTGCCTTGTGTGACTCCCTTTCTGTGACTCAGGAGAACAAGGATCGTCTCTGGGTGGTCTCTGTCCCCAGGGGCTCTGCTAGCTGGTTCAGGGTATGATTATTCCTGCTAATTATACAAGAATAAGTCCATATATGAATAAGTCACACTGGGGAGGTGTTTGGCCTTGACACATTGTTTATGATTTTAGAGAGAATTATAGGTATTTAAAAATTTTATTTCTTAGGCTGCAGGCAACAGCAATTGGTAGCAGGGGAAATGGTCCATGAGATCCCAGGGAAGCCATGGAAAAGATAGAAATGGAAAAATTTGCCCTTTACCAAAAGGACAATCCAATGGAGAATTGGCTCTGATTATTCTTTCTCTGCAGGACTCATTTCAGGGAATGACATCGAGAGCAGGAACGGCAAATACAAAATGGTGTGGGGTTGCCTCCTGCTCCTGTGGTAGATATTGCTAATAGACACATCACTCTCTCCCTCTGCATATAGATGTGGCCTCAGAATCCTTCTCACCAGCATGCTCCAGATAGTCTCTACCAATTGTTACCTCTTGATCATGGAGATAGAATCTATTTGCCCTCCATGCCCTGGGGAATAATAGGAGAAAAGACCCTGCAGATGGCTTTAGAAATCTGGTTAGCAAGAGTCGGGTCAGGTCCCACACAGCCCCATCATAAAAAGTATCACTGACCTGGTTGGACCAAGACCGTTCTTGCCACAAGCTGCTCCAGAGGTGGCAACAGCAACACCACGGAGTGTCCCTTCTTCTTCACAGTTTTCCTTCAAACGTTGGCTTTGTGGAGGGCCAAATCATGGTAGAGTTCTTCACACTTGTTCTTGCCCATTGGGCCCTCAGCAAGGTCTTTCCCCAAAGCAGAGGCCCTGGGTCCCCATGGCGCTGTCCCATCCTGGGGGTGGACGTTGTCTGCGGGACCTTGTCCCTCCCTGGTGTGCTTCCTGCAATTCATCAGGCCAGGTCTATCCCAGGGATCTCAGATGGAATGTGGTACAGGAAGAAAGTGATGCAGAAATCCTTTCTCTAGCCCACTCACCCCCATTTCCATACGTTCAGATGTTTCTAGGCTTTTCCTTTTTAATCATGTTTCTATTCTTTCACAAGAAAGAGATGCACTTGTCTGTATCCATCCAAATAAATTTCCCTATGTCCTCTACTGTTGCATTAGGCTTTCTGTAGACAAGAAAATGTCCATTTGTCCTCTTACGGTGCTATCTCATATCCTTAAAGACAGTCCTCTTTGGGTGACTGGTGGAGGATAGTCCCTTTGGGCTGACAGAGAAGCAGCTACCAGTCTCAGAGTTGAAAAGGGAATAGAGACAGAAGCAGTAGCTTTGACTTGAATTGTGAACAAAGAATGTTTTCCTTCCCTGACCTATTTTCTATCAACCTCCAGTATGACCTATTTATGGAGATGGGATAATTAGTAGCAGCAGAGGGCGCTACAAGGTCAAAAACAAAGCTGCCCACCTCAAAGGAAACAGAGAGAAAAGTCCCTCTTCTGAGTGATATGAGTGATCAAGATCCAAGCTGTGGGACAAGGGTGACGTTGTTCGCCAAATCTCTTGGCTCCCACCTGGTCTGAGGGCCCCTCTTGAGCGGCAGTTTTGGGCTAATGAAAGGCAGCCCTGCTTCACTGATGGGCAGGTGGGGCCTGCAGGGTGAGTGGGGCCTGCAGGACCCTCAGCACCTTGGGGAGAGGCGCAGGCTGCAGACGCCAATAGGTTTAAGGAAGATGGAGTGGAGAAACTTAGGGGCAATACGTCCTTAGTGGGCCACTGAATCTTGAGACTCTCTCCTATTCTACAGTGGTGGGGTCACTTGATCATGTATTGTGGCCTCTCATGAACAAGCCTGTTGCAACGTTTGGAAGACGTAAGACCAAGGGGCTGGAAGGCTCACTTCTCATGCTCCTAATGCTCTTACGGACTTGGGAGAGAGCACAGCTGGCTCATGTCTCAGGGGATCACAGAGCTCTAGGACATGCTTGCAGCACTGACAGCAAATTAAAGACGTCAGTCTTTTTCTTTTTTTAACCATTGATTGATACAACATATCAACAATCTTTTGCAAGATTTTGCAACTTTAAAATTTAGATTTACTCAGCATCTTTTCCCTGAACAGCACTGATGAGCGTAACACTCTTAGGAACTCTATTCATATGTCTATTTAATAAAAATGGCAACATTTAAATTAAATATGTAACAGCAATACCTGACATTCATAGATTATTTATCTGCTGGGTGTATTGCATGTGTGACCTCACTAAATTTTCTGATAGTCCTGTGAGAAAAGCTATTACTATCTCCATTTTCCAGATGGAGAAATTGAGACTTGGAGAGTTAGGGCATGCTTAAGGTCACACAGCTGGTAAAAGCTGGTGCTGATATGAACCCAAGCAGGCTGGCTCCAGGATCCCACTCTTAGCCATTATACTGCACTGCTGTGCTAAGTGCCTGCCCTTCCTTTGGGAAAGGATGCCTTTCAAGGAATATTGCAAGGACACCAGGGCAGAAGAGTCATGACGATGCTACCCCAAGCAGGGCTCAGGTTATGTCTCAACCTTCTGTGTGAAGCATTATAGGAGAGGATGTGTCCCTCTGTGTGAAGGTCCATTAAACCCACTTCTCTGTGCTTGGGTATGGTCAGCTGTAGCTGAGGTTGGGCAGTTAGAAGAGGAGGAGCAATTTAACTTGAAGACGGTTATGGTCTAGATGAGGAAGGGAACAGTCAGCTGTCACATAAATATCAAGCCCAGACAACATCTTTAGAGCAGGGACAGACACTAATAGACTGTGGGTGGGAAGTGAGCAGAATCCTTGGGCTTGGAAGAACCGGAAGCTCTGAAATGGACTTCCGCCATCAGGGAGCTGGGTCTCGTGGACTGGACCCCTGCCGGCAGGTGGCAGTGCAGGCATGCGCAGTCAATGTACCGGTAAGGCAGCCCCTGGGCCCTGAATCTCCCTCTTCCACATCCAGGGGCTCTGAAGATGCTCATGATGGGACTCTGGCCTGCCTGGTGCTTACTTTTGGTATTCTGCATGCCTAGCATCGCCGGATAAAACACAAGATGCCCAGTGGAATTTGAATTTCAGATAGACAATGAATACTTTTTTAGTATAAATGTGTTCCAAATATGGCATGTCCCAACTATCCATATTACTGAAATTTTTGTTGTTGTTTATTTGAAATGCACATTTAACTGGGTGTCTTGTATTTTTATTTGCTAAATCTAGGTGAATGGTGAGTTTTTAAGTGAAGAAATTGTATTCTTTTTTTTTTACACAGATATTTACTGATTGTCTGTGATGTGGTCAACACAAGCCTAGAGGCTGGAGACATATCAGTGAAAAGATAAGCTCCCTGCCCTCATATAGTTTATATTATCGTGTGTGTGTGTGTGTGTGTGTGTGTGTGTGTGTGTGTGTGTAGGGGAGAGGTGAGATGGAAGAGACATAAAATAAACATGTCTGAATCTGATGATTTCAGATACTGATGTGAGGGAAAATAAGACCAGAGATGTAATTGAGGTTGGTGACAGGTGGGATGGGTGACTAATTTAGTTGGAGCTGAGAACTGTTAAAAATTGGAGATGGAGTTTCAGGCAGCTAGAAAAGAAGACATAGAAGGGATGAGAAGGAAGGCTACTGCAGCTGAAGGGAAGAAAGAGAAGGAGCAGATGTGGGGTGAGGCTGGGGAGGAAGCAAGGGCCAGATCATTTGCAGATGTTACAGGCCTGGGAAGGAGGTCCAGCTGTCATCATCTGATGTACATTTTATGAAGAACTGGAGAATGGATTGTCCAGGGACAAGAGCAGAAGCAAGGGGACCAGTTAGTGCGTTGTCGAAGCAGTCCCTGTAAGAGATGATGGTGTTTATAGAAGGTGGTGGCGGTGGAGATGGAAGAAGTAGATAGACTGGAGATATATTTTCATGGTGGAACTGACAGTTCTTACTGAAGAATTGGATGTAGGGAAAAAGGGAAATGAAGGACCTTCTAGAAATACTCTTGGAAACACTCCTGCATTTTGGGGAGTGAGTTAGTCCGTGTTCTGTTTTTTACAGCAGAGCTTCCGAACTGTTGTCATATTCATGGCTTACGTGCAAAATCGTATTTGTAGGGCTTCTGGCTGTGAGGGGCTGGCTCAGGGGCTCCACTCACCCCAGGTACACGGGCACTCTGAACCCTATCTCAGCAAGCTTGTAACCCACTCATGGCAGTTCACCTGCCAGGAAGCTCTGTTCAGGATTTTCCAGGTGGAGCCAAGTGTGTGCTGCAGTGGGCCCAGTGAGAGATAGAAAGTCAAGCTGGTGAAGTGCAAGAAGCACTTAGGATCAGGACACTCCCTTAAGCATCTGAAATCAAAGATTTCTGGAATTCAGGTCTAGGACAGATTTTAGAAAGGATCTTGTCCAATCCCCTTTCTTCCCTCTTCACACAGAGAAGTAAGGGAGTTGTCCAAGGTACTCTTTCATTTATTCCATTTATTGAATAGAACAAAGTGTGTGGAGCTGTGCTAGATGCTATAAGACAGTGTCGCTCAAAGTACGACATGTGATTAATGGACTAGTACACCAGTCTGTGACCAGAGGATACAGAAATGGAGAGTGAACTACTTTTGCAGCAGTTGGATATCCAAGAACGCCATCATTAGACTTACTGTTTTCTTTCCTCCCTCACTTCCTCTCTCCCTCCCTTCCTTTCTTTTTCTTTTCTTTTCTTTTTTTTTAAAGTAATCAATTTTCATTGCCATATATATTAGTTCAAGATGGACTGGGGCCAAAATCATAACAGCAATAGCAGTTTCCTCGGCTGAGCCCATTTGTCTCTAGGAGTCACGGCTGAATTAGTCACATGACCATCTGGGCTGCCAGTCTCCTCTTCCTCCCGTCTTCCTTCGTTAGAACCATCAGATAGTCTCTGAGATCTTAGGAACCCTGTTTTGTTGTATATCCTCTGCCCTGGTATGAAGAAAAGATGATTCTTACTGTGGGCTTTAGCTTTTTGTTTTTCTGTAAGTAGATTCATTTGTTTACATTCCACTTGTTCCATAACCCCATTTCTCCTTCTCTGACTCTTGAAGGCTTTTTCTCTTGCACTCTTGGTTTTTGGTTATTTTCTGCCTTTCGCTTTATTTCTGTGTCCTTCTCTTGCCTCTGCTCATTGAGTTCTTCTGGGCTAGGCATGGCCTGTACTCAGTATCTAGGGGGTGCAGAATTCACTATTTCCTCATTTGTCTTTTTCACAGACAGGGGCATGCTGTGTGACAAAGTAACTCAGAGTTCCCCGGACCAGATGGTGGCGAGTGGCAGTGAGGTGGTACTGCTCTGCACTTACGACAGTACATATTCAGATCCAGGTTTATTCTGGTACCGCATAAGGCCAGATTATAATTTTCAGTTTGTCTTCTATGGGGATAAAAGCAGATCTCAAGGTTCATATTTTGCTAAAGGACGGTTTTCTGTGAGGCACCATCTGACCCAGAGAGCCTTTCACTTGGTAATCTCTCCAGTGAGTACTGAAGACAGTGCCACTTACTACTGTGCCATGAGCACGATGATGCAGGTGCCCAGGAAGTCTTAACACAAACTCCTGGGGCATGGCTCAGCAGAGCTACCTCTCAGGGTGGGTGATGTCTGGGACTTGGCATCTTTCTCTTAGCCATTTTGTGTTTCAGCCTGGCCTTTAGAAGTGACCTAAAGTGTCTTCTGAGAAATAAATGGCCTGGTCAGATCCAGGGGAGCACCCTGGCTTCAGAGAAGCAGAACATCTCCCCACTTCTGACTCAGTGGGCCCTTGCCACCTGAATGACTCCTGGTAGGCAAGGGAGAACTGCATGTTTAGGGAGCATTGTCTTTGTGTCCCCGGTTCCCTGGTCAGCCCTGATACAGAATGGGGCTTGACAAGCCTGTGCTGCATTTCCTGTGAGGGTTTCAGAATGCAGGTTCAGGTGCAGGTGAAGGGCCCATCAAGGTGAGGTCGCCAGTAGTGTCTTTATTTTAGTCACCACCATCATTTATCCATTATTATGAATAGGTCTGTTTTCATTTCAGAATTAAATTAGGGCCAGATGTGGTGGCTCATGCCTATAATCCCAACACTTTGGGAGGCTGAGGCAGGCTGATCAATTGAGGCCAGGAGTTCAAGACCAGCTTGGCCAACATGGAAGCCCGGTCTCTACTAAAAATACAAGAATTAGCCAGGCATGGTGGCTTGCGCCTGTAGTCCCAGCTACTCGGGAGGCTGAGGCACAATAATCGCTTGAACCTGGGAGGCAGAGGTTGCAGTGAGCTGAGGTGGTGCCACTGCATTCCAACGTGGGTGACAGATTCTGAGATTCTGTCTCAAAAAAAAAAAAAAAAATTAAGTTAGACACAAAGTTAATTACTTAAAAGACTTTTCACCAATTTCCTTTTTTTTTTTTTTTGCATCTTTTTATATCCAGCCACCTTCTTTGATGTTCTTTGACACCTCTATTTTACTTATTTTATTTGGAGAACATTTTCTTTTTTTTTCCACTGAAGAGCACTGAGGCTCTCCTGGAAAGTTGTGACTTCCAGAATTCCAGCTGCCAAGTCCCTGAGTTTGGAGCTCAGTGGTGTCTCCAGCAGAGAAAATTTCCTCTGGGGCAAACTGACTATGTGGTGTTGAAACAGATACATACCCTCAGTCCCTGGGAATCAGTCCCTCCTTCCTCTTCTCTTGAATTATCTGCCTTAATAGAATTATTAGAGTTATTAGATGTACTCTTAGAAATGGAAGAGGCTTTGCACATTATTTTATAGAAACTACACTGCAGTCCAGAGACATGGTGGACATTCTCAAAGTCGTATATCTGGCTAATGACGGGCCCAGAAATGCAGCGTTACACTTCCAGGGCTCTCTCCTGCAGCTGCACCCTAGGTGGCTCTATCAGTGAGTGGTTTGGGCAGCAGTTTATGTACTCTTCAGAAACACTGGACAAGAGTAGCCACTATATGGAGCAATGGAAAGAACAGGGGATGAGGGAGCCAAAGGCCTTGGGCATGTGGCTTGGCTTTCTGGGGCTTCTGTTCTAATGCCTACTGAGTGTGTCACATGTCCATCTCACAGTTCATATATCATGGCCCCAGATCAGAAAGCAGCCATAATTCCTCCTGGCTCTTGCCTTGAATCTTCTCTGGAGGCTCCTTTTGGTTTGAGAAATTCATGGTCCTGTGATGTGCCACGTTTTTTTTTTTCTGGCGTAGTGGGCTAGAGGGTGACTCATTTATATGCTAAATATGGGACAATCCTGAAGTTCATTCTAGCTGATACTCACATTGACATCCTGTCCTCATTTGGGGATGCAATATGCTCTTATAGCAGGAGCTTCGTACTGAAAATCTTGAGACCTTGGTTCTACTCCCAGCAATATCCCTGCCTCACTGAATGACTCTGGACAAGGTACATACTTTTTTGAGGAGAGGGCATTTTTTTTAATCTGAAAAATGAGAATATGATCTTTTTTTTCCTAATAACTTCAGAAGAAACACCCTAATATTACACAAGGTAACTTGTGAATGTTTTGGAAATCAGCTCTCTTTACACATGCAAGGTGTAGTACACATGATGGGGGAGTTTGCAGTCGGTCATGGCAAGGGGAGTTGTTGGCGACAGTCACTCTTTCACTTGTTACCTCATAAACCCCCACTTGACACTCCACATAGGTGCTGAGGAACCACAATAATGGGTTGCCAGGGCCCTGAGCCCTGCTCCTGGACAAAGCTGTGGCCTTCCTGACGTGGGAGTAGCAGAGGTCATTGGCCACACTGCAGGTGCTGCTGTTGTTCTTGCTGTAACAGCGGCATCAGCAGATGCAGCAGGAAACCCGAGGCTGGGTCTCCAAGGCAGGGCTTCTGTAGGCTTGAGGCTCAGGAAACTGTGGTGTGATGCGTAAGTACGGTTTGGCTTTTGGCTGACTAATAGTGAGCTCACAGAGCTGCCTTTCCCCCTGTGGTGATCTGCGAAGAGTAAAGCCAGAGGCAAGGTGCACACAATACAGTTTAATAAATGCAACAGAGGCAGGGGCTGAGAAGAAAGGCAGAAAACCATCAATACCAAAGTACCAGGCCAGAGAATTAGTGTGCAATGGTTTCAAACACAGATTGGCAGGCAAAAGACAGTAAAAATGTTGTTTTTGTAGAGAAAGATAGGGGTCTCATTTCTGTTCCTCCCTTCAAAAACACTTTCACAGGAAGTTGCTTGAAAGCAGACTTATGTCTTCTTTGTACTCTCAGTACAGTGCCTGGAACTCAGAGCGAGCTAATTTATGCATGTTAAATCTATTAACAGAAAGCAGTGCCTTTCCTCTGTATTTTACTCTGATTTTTGCTAATAGTCTGGAGAGTATTTAGATGAGATTTTGGAAACCCCATTGCCTGCTCATAAAGTATTAGCGAATTCAAATGTAATCTCATTTGTAAAGTACTAGGAGATGCAGAAAGTGCTAAAACTTTGCCCCCCTCCATGCCATGCAGAATCTCTAGTGTGGCTCCTGAAGTGAACATAGAGAATGGGACAAGCTGTGAGGACAGGAGGAAGAAGATGATGCTGGTTTGTAGCAAATCCAGTGCTCAGTTGAGCAGAGTCTTCCATGTTTAGATAAAAGGGCACCTGCTCTTCTTCTCCTAGGGCCTATTTTCCTCATGAGGAATGAAGCTGTGAACCTTTTGGTTCTCACTTTCCACTTCAAAAGGTAAAGAAAGTCAAAAAGAACAAAACATCATTTTCAAAGTGTATCAGTTGTAGGAGTAAAAAAACGTGTTCTATATCTTTTTATATCCTTCTATCCCTGTATAAAAACAGCATATAAAGCAGTTAGGACATAAACCCCCCTTCCCCAGGACTTTTGTCTTCCCACCAAGCTGGAGGATGAGCTGGGTTTGTTGTCTTTGAAGAAAAATTGGTTGGGCTAGCAGCCATTTTAACAAGGCTATGACAGGTCCACTTGAATCATCAAGAAGTCAGAAGCCAAGGAGATGCATTTTTGTAAGCCTTTGGTTTCTTCAGGAGTGTAGCTTCCTCATGCCAGTCAGCCTGCAAGTGAAGAAAGTTGTTATAGAATAGACTGCCAGTGCTAGAAGGAATCGTAGGGGTCATGTAGTCTGGGGGTGGCCAGTACTTGCTATGCTATGCCACTGCAGACATCACTAATCTATTGTGGCTCATTTTCCATCTACACATGGCAATAGCTTAGCTGGTTCGGCTATCAGTGTTGGCACAAGTCATGAAACTCTTTTGTTCTCCTTTGGTTATTATTATTTTTTAACTTATTTGTTTTACAGATGCAAAAACCCAGGCCCAGAGAGATGAAGCAACTTGGCTAAGGTAACATGTAAGTTAATGTCAAAATCAAGATAAAGCTCAGATCTTCTGACTCTTAGCGTAGCCCTCTTTTTATCCAGCCACACTGCCTGTGTCCCTGGGACTGTTAGTAAAATAACAGGTGAGCTGGACACCCATTTGGAGATGACTGGATATGTTTACTGTCTGGGTCAGGTCAGTCAAGTACTCTAAGTCTAGGGTTGTTCTTAGAACAGGAGCTGAGGTTGATGAGCATTTGTGAGTATTGCAGAAGGAGTGACGGGGAGGAGCCTCACATGCAAACCCAGGCCCTGGTTTCAATTTCGTGTACGAGACTATCTGAGAATGGAATGCAAGTAACAGGCAAATAATTAACATCTCAGACCTAACTGTGTATGCATCCTGAGTAGGTAATAGTGAGCTGTTCACTACTAATGCTGTGTGTAGGTTCATCCCAAAGACAAGCTGATCCACCCATAGACAGGCTGGTCCTATGATTAAGGAGTGTGAGCTGGCATTCCCTTTATCAGGACAAAGATAGGCTCTGCTTCCTCTGGATATTCTTCAGGCAAAGCTTTACTTATGGCCTTGCAAATAACCCATGGCCTCTTGGTCAATGAACAAAATAGCAGTTAAAGAAGATGAATTCTCTTTATTTATCTTCTGTTTTCTCCCTGGGGTGAAAGTGAGAGTTATTGTCTGGTGTATTAGAAAAATAGTACATTATACTACCTAATGGGTTTCAGTCTGACTTAAAATGAAAGGATAACAGGAGATGGGGTGCTGTTTTGCTGAGTAGCTGAGATAGCCTACCTTATTAATTCTAAATATGTCTCTATTTTCCTTTTCCAATGCTTCTTAGTTTCTTACCATTTCTAAATCCCCTTTCCCCATGTGCAGGACAGTGTGGGTAGAGATAGGAATAAGAAGCGGCTAATTCTTACCTTACAAGAAAAGTAACTTGGCAGTCAAGAGAAAATTGATGGCAACACTCTTTACAAACAGCATTCGTAGTCCCAGCACTGTGAGAGACATCATGTTCACCTTCTCGGCATGAACTATGGTTGAACAAGAGTGAAGAGGGTGGCTTCAGGGAGAGATTAAATTCCCTTCCAGAAATTGGGCCTGTAACACTGATATCAGCCTACCCCAAGTCTGCCTAATTCTTTCTGGCCTGCAAGCCCAGCGTGGTGCCAGGTAGCCCTCGGAGACCTTAGGCTGCTGCTGACACCCAGCCAGGCAAGCTCTGCTGGGAGAGTCAGAGGCTCCACAGAGCCAACTGGGCTCAGCATCGTTTGTGTTTTCTTTTGAAATCTGATACTTTTTGGCCCCAGTGGACAACTACAGAGTTTGCTTTAACCCTTGATTCTGAAGTTGGCCCTTTGATTTGAACTAACCTTTGGGTTCATGGCAGCTCTTTGAAGGTTGCTTTGTGTTTTCAGTTTCCGTTGGTTTTAGGTGATCTGGAACAAATTCCGTTGGTTTTAGGTGATCTGGAACAAACAGCAGTGGTCAGGGTTACCTTGGGAATGAAGAGGCTCACAGGATTGTAGGGTTTTAAAACTGGAGGAGACTTTGGGTGAGTGAACTGAGGACCAGAGGATGTGACTTGGTTAAGGTCACATAGCTAATTATACAACATGCTTCCCATTCCAGCCTTTTTCATTGTACCATGAAGTCAACATCCAGGCACACCAATATGTGGGAAGAACTAGGATCTTAGCCCCATGATAGGCCACATTACCCTTTGTTGGAATTTAGC